TATCACGCAATTTCTCACCTTGTACTTAGATCCAGCACTAACATACTCCTTAACGACCGTATTTCTACTGCCTTTAGTCTACTCTCGTGCTTCTTCTGCCACATTCAGCTTTCACTACCATACGTCAAAGTAAGGACTAACACAGCATCGTGAATAGCCATATGTGCATTTTTGACGCATTCTAACTTTCCACAATATTGTAAAGCGCCATTTACTTTATTTCCTGCGTTCATACGTCGTTATAAATCCTCATAATATCTCCCAACCGTGTTAAATACACATCCCAAATATAAAAACTCATCTACTTGCTCAACCAACTCCCCTTCTATTCTTTTTTCACTTATCGTTTTAATTTACTATCTTTCAAAAACCACAACTTTCGTTTCACTTCCGTTGACGTTCATTATTTTTTCTTTCAATGACCTGTTTATTAATGTAACCATCATTTGCAATTCGGCCACCGACTGTCTGACAAACCAATCGAAGTAGATCCCGTTGATCCTAACACAAGCACTAGAGTCCCTATAAAGAGACTTTAATGCCTATATCAACCCAACGCTCAAGCCAAATAAGTTCAGTGTTTGCAATAACACATCGCTGTCTACTCTCTTATTAGCCTTTTCCAAGTCCTTGAAAACACAAAAAACTTTTTGGTTTTTGGCCAAAAACTTCTCCGCGATCATGAGTTGATCTGCACACCACATCTGAGAAAACTGTATGCTAAGGTATACAGATTACCCACAATACTAAGCAAGCTGATACCACGGTAGTTTTTGCAGTCCTGTGCTGTGACCCTTTTCCCTTATATATTATAATAATATAACTGCTTTGCACCGCTTTAATGCCCAACATGGATTAAACAAGGTCTACAGAAAGAAGGCCTACCACCACTCCCTCTCCAATCCCTTAGCATCTTGACTGATACTCTATCATATCTAGCTGCCTCACCTTCTTTCATTCTTTTCATTGCTTTCTTTATTTTATCTACATTTATCTCCCCCACTCCTTTCTGCTTCTTTCAGAATTAATATTATTACATCATTATTACCCATTCTTTCTTGCTTTTTACTTTCAACTACTTCTTTTACTCTCTTACTTAGACGTCTAGACTGCGTTTTTCTATCAGTATCATCATTCGTACCAGAATTACTAGCCTTGGTTGCTAGTAAATCTAGCCATGCTCTTTTTTTGGCTTCAACTTTCATACTTACCTAATCATCCCATTATAACGTATTATTTTTCTTTGCATTCGTTACTAACATCACATACTTCGGTAGCTGCATCCATCGAACCTACACATATTCAATCATGTATATGTATCACACACCATTCATTCAAACACCTAATATTTTCCCTCGGTCTACATTTATACTTCTCTTTCACACTTTTATCTTGTAACCTATCTATTATTACACGTTGTAACGCAGTGGTAGACACAGGTGTACGATACCACCAACGCTTGAATAGATCATTAATTCGACATAAGACAAAGTAATGATTCGTCCCTACATTGAACGCCCGGTAAACACTTGTATCTGTCACTGCGCTCCTCATTTTTTCATACACAATTATGAAATCTATCATGCTTCTATTATCACCTCTTTCCCATGTACACACGTGAATCTTCTTATGACGAAAGAAAGTGTTGGTCACGAAAATATTCTTTTCCACACATACGGTAAGGAAGCTTACACAATTCTCATTTATACTTTCATCACCAAACGTTCCCAATATCTTTTCACAACTAAGCCTCTTCACACAAACCTTTCCTTTAATATTTCCTAACCTAACAATAATTTAATTTCCTTTACATTTCATTAACTCCGTCCTTACCATCTCGCAGAACTGCTACGTTGCTTAACTTCGGTGATCGGACGAAAACCGGTGTATTCAACGTGGTATGGACGTAGGCGAATGAGACTTGTAGGCCATTTCTTTAATTTTTTGCCTCACTGTGCGAAACTAGGGGATTGTATATTTTATGCTGCTACTAAATGGCGAGAAGCCGTGTTTGTTATTTCGGCTTTGCTGCTAGTTTAACATTACCCAGGGAATACGTGTAGTGTGGGCCTAGGATGAAGTGGTCGAAGCCTACGGACGCGAGCATCTTATCCAACCATTTTAATTTTTTTTTGTATTTTTGAATGGGTCCCTGGAAAGAAGTTCATGCCGGCACACCGCCTGCGACTTTACAAGGCGCAGGTTCAGCCGCACATGGAATACTGTTCCCATCTCCGGGCTGGGGCTCCCCAGTACCAGCTCCTTCACTTGACCGCATCCAGCGCAGAGCGGCTCGAATCGTCGACGATCGAGTGCTTTCCGATCGGCTCGATTCACTGGTACTGCGAAGAGATGTTGCATCTCTTTGAATTTTATTTCACATATACCATGGAGAGTGCTCTGAGGAATTGTTCGGATTAATCCCAGCCGCCAAATTTCGTGAACGCACTACGCGGCAAACGTCCCGATACCATCCACACCATCTGGATGCTTGGCGGTCCACCACAGTACGTTTCAAAAGCAGTTTTCTTCCACGTACAACCTGTCTGTGGAATAGTTTACCACCGGCGATTTTTGCGGACCGATACGACCTGGGGACCTTCAAGAAAAGAGCTTACTCTTTTCTAAAGGGCCGCCAACGCACCTGCAATTCCCCTGGTATTGCAGTTGATCATGGGCGGCGGTAGTCACTTAACATCAGGTGAGCCGCATGCTCGTTTGCCCCCTCTTCTATAAAAAAGAAAAAAAGGGTTTCAGTTCATATTTGGATCTGGTAGGTGAGCTATTGTCGAGATCCAGAAATCACTCGTGTGAAACCGGAGCGTATATACGGGGCTACTTTGAAATAACCGGTCAAATTTGCAGAGGCGGTTCAGAATAAGCAATGTAGGCAAATGGTAAAGAAAGATTAATTCAAAAAAATTTCGAACATTTTGTCCTTTTAATACTCGTATATTAAATTCAAAATACAATTTGATTGTTAATGCATTATTTTAACTCATTTTACTGCACACGCACACATTCGTAAGCAAAAACGTTGTTGCCCATATACTCGTATTACATTCAATTTGAGATAATATCAAATAAGGTAATGTTCGCGGTCCCCTCGTTTTTCGACTCTAGAAAATCTAAAAATCACCCGATTACGATGATTTTTTTAAATCTTCGTTTTTATGGCGGATTTATGAAAAAAAATATGGAAAATATCTCACCTGAAGATTTCATATAGTTTTACGAGTTTAAATGTGATCATAAACGCACTTTTACGAATATAGTCGTTCATAACTTTATTACAAAGCATTAAACGAAGCTTATATTTTTTTGTTTATCTACGCAAATAAAACGAATATTTAAAAAAAGAAACACTGAAAAATGTTTGTTTATTAATTTTTTTATCTCACTTAAACTTTTTAAATGGTTTTCTGACTTTAAATGTTATCATAAATGCTCTGGAAAATTGAAATAATATTAAATGTTAATATTTTGGTGTTTTATTGAATGTAAGATCGAACGAAGCGAGCTCGGGACTTAGGGCATCCCGACTCGGACAGGTTTAGTTAGAAGGAGAAGACACCTCCTTCATGGTTATTTTTTTAGAAACCACTCAGAAGTAGTTGTTTTTTTTTCATAATCTAAACAAAAAACGAACATTTAAAAAATATTGAAAAATGTTTGTTTATAATTTTTTTTATTTTAGTGTTTTATTGAGTGTACGATCAAGCTAAGCGAGCCCGGCATTTAGAGTATTCCGACTCGGACATATATATAAAAAATACTAACCTAACCTAGGTTAGCTTAGTATCTACCGCTTCGCGGGGCTACGTTGACCGGGCTTTCCTCCACTGCGCTACGTTATGTGGCGTGATGCTTCCCTTCCCCAACTCTCTCCCGTAACGCAGTCGAAGGAAGCTCGGTCGACTGTCTGAGTGGTTTATAAAAAAAAAATACTAACCTAGGTTAGGTTTGTATTTTCTCGAAATCCAGAGCTCGCTTCGCTCGATCTTACACTCAATAAAACACCAAAATAAAAAAATAATAAACAAATATTTTTCAATGTTTTTTTAATGTTCGTTTTTTGTGTAGATTATGAAAAAATATAAAAAAAAACCTACTTCTGAGTTGTTTATAAAACAATAACCACGAAGGAGAATGTAATATTACATTTATTTTGTATTAATTATTATTTAAACTTATTACCTCTCTTTTAGAATTCCATTCGCATAAATAAGATAATATATTAATCTTCTTAGGACTCATATCTTATTATGAATATTGATTTTCAGTTAGGCTTTTGTTAATTCCGCGTATATTTATTATAAAAAGAGGCCGCGTCAGTCAGAAGACGAGTCACCTCCACACACAAAACGTTCGGCATCCGTCGGGGTAAAAAACAAAAGACTGAAGTAGTTCGTTTATCGATTTTCTTCAGTATTTTTTGTTCTTTAAAAATTTTAGTTCCCCAACAATTGTAAGTTTTTCATTAGAGTATAATTGTAAAAAAAAATTATAAAATTACTGAATTCATTTTTTGACTCAAGATTTGATTATATGATTATGTCAATATTTCATAAAAGATATATTTTAAATACATTATATTTTTCTCAAAATCCTTTGTTATAATTTCCCATAAATCAATAAATAATTTACTTTGATATATTCAGTTAATATCTTAAGTTGAAAAATTTATTAAAAATAATTATTGATAAAAATAGTCTCTTATAATTTAAATAAAAAGCAGAATATTATTCAAACAAAAATGTAAGACTGTAGTAGTAAATTAAGTTAAAATCTAAAATTAATTATAGTAATAGTCAATTGCTTCTTAAATATTTATGTTAAGCAGTATTTATTTTAATTTTAATTTATCCTTTCAAAATATATTTCTAGTGTATTTAACTTATGAGATTAAATATAAGCAATATCTGATCATCACAGGAGTTAAAATGACAATCGAAAGTCAAGAAGTTGGAGCGGTGACAATGCGTGTCTGGGACGGGGCGATGGCTCCATACACTTCTAATCAAACAGTTGTTGACAAGGTTCTGCCAGAAATGCTGCATTTAATAGATGCACATTGGTATGTTTGATTAAATAGTAGCATAAGTATATTACTCGATTAAGAAATTTATTTATTTATTATGTGATTAAATACACAGAATAAACTATATAATTTATTTTATAGAATGAATCTTCAAATATCATTTAGCAGTCTACTGCCATTCTTAGTCAATTAATAACTGCTATTTAACTTAGAACTTAGTGGATCTTCGGTTAAATATATGTAAGATAAGGAATTATGGATTTTCAGGTACCAGTTCCCGCCTATGGATCCTCTATGGTATAGCTTATTGGGCTGCACTATTGCAGTTTTGTGTTTAATTTCCGTTACGGGGAATGCAATGGTTATTTATATCTTTACTACTACAAAGGTACTTATTACTTAATTAAGAATTATTGACAGAATATGTTGAAAGAAATTTCAGGTTATATAGACCATTATTCTTTTTGCAGCACCTGAAGACTCCCTCAAATTTACTTGTGGTAAACTTAGCTGTTTCAGACTTTCTGATGATGGCCTGTATGGCTCCACCTCTAATGATAAATTCCTATAATCAAACATGGGTCTTCGGTGCGTATTTTGGTTTTAGTTTCATTAAAATATTTTACTGCTAATTTAATAATTAGCAGTATAATATTAATAATTTAATAAGTTTAATATTATTATTTTATATGATTTTATATTGACGAAAAATGAACTTGAAAAATTGTGATTATTTTTGTTATAGGTCCCTTGTTTTGTGCAATTTATGCTTGCGGTGGTTCATTGTATGGAACTGTTTCAATCTGGACAATGACTGCAATCGCTTTCGATCGGTACAATGTAATCGTCAAAGGTATTGCTGCTAAACCTATGACTGTCAATGGTGCTTTATTACGTATTCTTGCAGTCTGGCTTTCGTCCCTTGCATGGACTGTGGCACCTATTCTTGGATGGAACAGGTAAAATTAATACAATTATTGATATTTTTATAAAGCGGTAATCAATCAAAAAAATTTTTTTATAAAAAATAAAATTACTATCATACTAATCTACAACAGGTATGTTCCGGAAGGCAACATGACTGCATGCGGGACCGATTACCTTAGCAAGGATTTGTTAAGCCGAAGTTACATTGTCGCTTACGCGATTTTCTGTTACTTTTTACCCCTGGCTCTTATCATCTACTCCTACTACTTCATTATTCAAGTAAGTTTTGGAAAGAAAATGTGAAATGTATTTTTGTTTTTGGTTTGAAAATGTGTAAATGTTTGTATAATGTTCTACAAAATATTAGTTGTTTAGATATAATATTATTATTTAATTATTTGTAATAAAATTTTAAAGGCTGTAGCTGCACATGAAAGAGCCATGAGGGAGCAGGCAAAGAAAATGAATGTGGCATCTCTAAGGTCATCTGACGCAGCGAATACCAGTACAGAATGCAAATTGGCTAAAGTAAGTTATATTTAAGCTTGCAGTCTGATTTTTTTAGGATTTATGAAAACAATTATTATTATTATTATTGGGGTATCTATATAATTTTCTCACCTGGTTGGGTTCTATAAAAATATAATTATAAATTAAAATGAAAAGATAAATATACATAAATATAAATAAAATAAAATAAATACAAAAACTACATAAATAAATAAGATCCAACCAGATGGGAGCCCTCGGCAGGGGAGACCAAACGGCTGAGGGTTAGGGGGAAAGGGAAAGAAACCGGCGGACGATGCGGGCGGTATCGAGGAGCACCGCCTTCTGCATTTGAGCCCGGAGCGGTCCGTCACGGAGTCCCAGTCGCCTCAGATGACCCGAGAGGCTGACTGGGATTAGCCCATTCGCAGAGACGACTACAGGAATAATTTCGGCCGGCATACCACCCCGCATGTCGGTCACCTCGTGAGCCAGGTCCAGATATTTTGTTCGTTTATCTGTTTCGGCTTTCACGAGGTTCTCGTCATACGGAATAGTAATGTCGACCAAAAATATCCTTGACTGTGCCCGGTCCATCAGCACAATATCAGGCTTATTCGCAAGAATAGCCCTGTCTGTGATGATGGCCCGGTCCCAGTAGAGCCTGGCGCGGTCATTTTCGAGCACGGCTTCCGGCAAGTACTTGTAATACGGCAAGTTTCGGTCCACGAGACCGTATTTCAGAGCGAGCTCCTGGTGTAGAATTCTGGCTACTAGGTTGTGCCTGTGCAAGTACTCAGAGTTAGAAAGCGCCGAACAACAGAAGATATCATGCCTAAGTGACTCCCCGGGATGGCGACAAGCTCGACAGACGTCGACAGTGCCATCCTTTAGGATGTATCTCCGATAGTTGTTGGTCTTAATAACCTGATCCTATCCTTGCACAGACAAAACCCTCGGTTTCACCGAAGAGGTCACCGAAACGTAGCCAGTTAAGGGAGGCGGCTGTATCTACGTGAGGCTCATGTAGAGCCCTGTAGTACCTCCTGTGGAGCTCCTTCTCCTTCCATACGTTCTCCCGGTCGGAAATGCTCTGTAATGCCGGGTCTTGCCATTGCTCGTTGTCTATGGATAGAGGGGTAAGTCCTTTATCACTAGAAATGACGTCATTATAGAGTGGATCATCCGATCTCGCCAGGAAGTAATGACGGAGGCTGCACACTTCGCGATTATGTATGGTGAGTGCGCTCAGGAAGCCACGCCCACCATGCTTTCGCGGCAAGTACAGCCTCTTTACCGACGATCTCGGATGATGCATCCTATGGGACGTCATTGTAGTGCGGACTTTTTTATCCAGGGCGTTAAGTTCAGTCTGACTCCAACTGAGTATGCCAAAGGTATACATGAGGACAGGGATGACCCAACCGTTATATGCATGTGTCTTATTCAAACCGGACAAAAGGCTGTCAAGCACTTTGGTCAAGCGTGCATAAAGCACGTCGCAAACTGACTGTTTCATATCAGCCTCATCGATACCGATGTTCTGTGACATACCCAGGTATCGGTATGTTTCAGCCTCGGAAAAGGCCCTTAAGTTGACGGGCATAAATAAGTCTATGCCCTCAGAGTTAGCAATCCTTCCCCTTTCAACGTGGAGTACCGCACACTTATCCGTCCCCAGCTCCATTCTAATAGAATTGCTAAGTCACACAGTAATTCACAAGTGATATTTAGCAAGTCCATAAGATGGGAGCGACTGGAGGCGAATAATTTGAGGTCATCCATATAAAAAAGGTGGGTCACTTTTGTACCTCCTTTCCGAAGCTGAAATCCCCTACCGGAGCCCTCCAGTAAAGTACTGAGAGGGTTCAAAGAGAGGCAGAACCAGATTGGACTCAGACAGTCGCCCTGGAATATACCCCTTTTTATCCTTATGCGGCTTTTCGCAGCCGTCATCCGCTCGCCTAGATGACAGAGGATCGTACTCCACTACCCCATACACTGCTCGAGGAAGTCTCGAACTGTACAATCAATCTTGTACAGCTCGAAGACCCTCTTTAGCCATGTATAGGGCACCGAGTCAAATGCCTTTCTGTAATCTATCCAGGCGGCGGAGAAGTTCCGACGATTGCGTTTCACCACTTTGTCAATTACCGCGTCAATGAGGAGTGGTTCCTTGGTTCCACGACCCGCCCCGACATCCATTTTGAGCGCGCGACATCACCTGATTTGAGTCCAGATGACGAGCGATTCTCGCGCTCAAAATGGATGTTAGTGTCTTGTATATGGTCGGTAGACACGTGATGGGGCGGTATTTGCTGTGGCACCCTGATCTCTAGGAACCAAATGAGTGATCCCAGTAGTGAAGATGCTTGGGAGCGACTTCTAGTTGAGAGCCTCTTGAAACTGTCGGGCGAGCACAGCGTGACACACCATGAACCCCTTCAGCCAGTAGTGATGCAGCCCGTCAAGCCCCGGACTTTTCCAGTTCGGGGCCCTACGGACCGCCTCGCTACGTCATCCGGCGTTATGATGACGGGGTCCATGGGCGTAATACCCACACACTGACTCGCCACAACTTCCGTCCAAGGGCTCTCGTTGTGGTTTACGGGCTCTGACCACAGGCTGCGCCAGAATGCGACCGTGTCGGCCTGATTTGGTGCTGGGCTCGTTCCACTTACTATTGGTCGCTCCATTGATTTATAGAGCCTCTTCTGATCACTCTGGAAGAGACGATTCTGGTTGAACCGTGTCGACCTCTCGGTATATCGCCGAATCCGCTTTCCCCAAGCAGCGATTCTTTGCTTCAGATCGTCTATGCGCTCCGTCAGTTTTTGCATTATATCTGGCTGGGACATACTAACATTTGTCCCAGCAAACGCCATCCTGACGGTGCGCACAATCCTTAGCCTGGTATTGCCTGACCTGAAGCATATCAGTCTGCCGATGAGGGCCCTAGCCTTTGCGATACGTTCTTCAATTCTTATTCTCCAGGCTGGGATAGCACTACTTTGTCCAGTAGCGCGTCTAGCCGTGGAAAGTTTGGCGCCTATAATACGGCAGACTGCCAGTGCGGCATTATTATTATTTTTATTATTGCACACTACGCTGCTACAACATTCTCTTATACAGTAGGAGTCCTCCTAAAATAATGACAAAAGAAGGAAATATGTAGTTTGTCCCAGTAAGCTTCTAAAGACAAAATTTTCGCATAAGCATTTTTGCTTCCTGGGAGGTTACCTTTATAATAAATTAAATAAACTTTTGTCAATTTACTCTCTACCAAAAAATGCATGTAAACAAAAATTACAGAAGTGGTTGCTAAATATCGATTATATTGCTGCTGAAAATTTACTGAGAGTATTATCCTAAAACACATAACCCTACACAAATGAGTGACACACACACACACACACACACACACACGCACACACACACACACACACACACACACACACACACACACACACACACACACACACACACACATACACACACACACACACACACACACACACACACACACACACACACACACACACGTACACATACACACTATTACACATATAGAAATAACTTTAAAACATATAGAATCTTTCCTTGTTGAAATATTTCTTATTCTTGTATTTCTCTTGTAGTATATTTGAAAATGTAATACGTGCTATCCGTTAGGGTGAGGGCCTGGTGATCTATAACACAGGGATTACCCTAGTATGGACACCAGTCTCTCACAAAGGTCAAAGTTATCGACAACCGTATTATTTAAGAAATAATGTGAAATTATATACCTTTATGAAGAGAAAAATAAAATGATTTATTATTATTATTATTAATTCTCATAAACATTTGTTTTGTTTAAGGTTGCTTTGATGACCATTTCATTGTGGTTTATGGCGTGGACTCCATACTTGGTAATCAATTTTGCGGGAATATTCGAAACCGCTCCCATAAGCCCACTAGGAACCATTTGGGGCTCTGTTTTCGCCAAAGCCAACGCGGTTTATAATCCAATAGTATATGGCATTAGGTAAGCATAAAACATTTTATAAAAAGATTTTATTTTATGAAATAAAACTAATGCAAAGAAGTAAATATATTACTTTTCTATATTTCAGTCACCCCAAGTACAGAGCAGCATTGTATCAAAGATTCCCTGCGTTAGCTTGCCGGCCTTCGCCTGAAGAAAACGGTTCCGTAGCTTCTGCTAACACTGCAGTTTGCGAAGAGAAACCTGCAGCGTGAACTGGAATTTAACCCTTTACGATGTGAATTTGCTTATTACACTCCAACGACTGCGTGTTTTTAAGGACTTGATTCTACCAGAGCGATTTTAATTTTTATACTTTTTATGTAACAATTAATATTAAGCATCAAACGCGAACTTAACATAAAATATTTGGGTGCATAGATGACTAAAATATTAAAGAAGTGTACCTACTTAAAACGACAGCAAAATTTCTATATACATGCAGCAAATCTTTTATATACGGATTAGGTGGAAAAGGATACTCTAAATCTAAGAAAATACTAATTTCTTTAAGTTAATAATTTGTTTGTATTTTCAGTTCGCGTTTTGTGTTGTTTAATTGTTATACTGTATTTTATCCAGTCTCCAGAGTACCTGCCAGCACTACTAAAAATATAAAAAAAGTCAAACATATTTATAAGCATATAGTGTTAGGCAGCCCCGATTCCTAAAGATTACTCGATTTAATGTTAAGTAAAAATAATGCTCTCTGACGAAAAAAGCTATGTATAATGGATTCCCGATTAAAAGACAGGCAATGTGGTATAAAACCGCACTAGTGACTTTCATTTACTATTTACCATTAGTGAAACTCCTTTTGAATATTTATTTAATATAACTGGTAGTATATTAATAACAGCAAGGTCTTGGGTGAGGATGGAATTACTACTGAGTTTCCGAAAGTTTAAAAACTAGTTCTTGAAATCCTTCAGAAGCTCTTTAATTCCATCCTTCATAGTAGTACTGCTCCAAAGGCATGTATCAGAATTGCGGTGGTCTTGTTCTTCGAAAAAGGCCATAATGCTCTATTGAAAAACTACATACCGATTTCTCCTTTAGGCTGTATGACGATAATGATGATTTCCCGTTTGAGCGTGTTGTTTTCTAGGGTCATTACAAATCAGAAGACCAAAGAGCCAATTTGTCTTGCTTATGTAGACTTTAAGAAAGCTTTTGATTCCGTCAAAATTTGATCAATGCTACAGTCCCTTCAGCGGTGCCAAGTTGACTGTCAGTATATCGAAGTGCTAAAGTTTTACACCATAAGGCTATCCAAGTACAAACCACAGTGCGAAATCTATTCACCTGCAAAGATTCGTAAGACAGGAGGACTTTATATCCCCGAAACTCTTCACCGCTGCATTATAAGATATTTTCTAGCTTCTGGAATGAAAAGGATGCGGTAAACATCAATTGCTAGAACACCTTTGATTTGCCGACAATATAGTCATTATCGTAGAATCACTGAAATACCTCAGCCCTATGCTCAATGATCTTAATAGTGTCTCACAACGAATAGATCTTATAATAAGGATTGAAACAAAACATCTCTGAAACGTGAAAAAATGTCTCTGAAACTGCTGTCGCATCAGGAAACTCAATGTCACTCAGCAAGCTATGGAGAGGACTATACTCAGAAATGAGGGTATGCGCTGTAGAACCAAAGTAACCGACATAGCGCAATGGATCAGTAAGCTGAAGTGGTAATAGGCCGGTCATACAGCTGGATATAATTCGAATTATATTATTGCCTTATTGAAGATCCGACAATAGATGAGAAACCTTCGTACCGGTAAGCAAAGTAAGAACAGTCCCTCACGAGATATGGTGATGACCTGAAAAGACATGCAGGAACTCGATGGATACATCTGGCTGTCCTGAGCCAGATGTATCCATGCTTTGTTATCCGTGCTTTGTGACATTCCTGGGAGGAGGCCTATTGTCTGCAGGGGACTTGTGATGGGCAGTAATGATAATGATATTATTAGATAAAAAACATTCACATAATCCTCAACATATCTATGATGTAATGTCTCCCAGAACGAGTTCCGGCCACAACAACCAGACTTAACGGAACTTTAGCCATCTGCGCAGGACAGGTTTATAGTGCACGAGTGTGTCCACAAGTACACATTTACTCTCTATTCCTTCATTCATATAGTTCGAACTCGACGGGATGGCAATCCAATATGATAGTAAGTATAAGTAAGTATTAACAGATTTACGTGCTTTTCGAGGCACGGGGATAGTACACCGCCAACTTCTTGACTAGGTGCGGATACCCACATGGTTAGCTGTTGCATGGCTACTAGATCGTTTAGACAGTTAGTATTTCAATTTTTATAAAAAGAAAATAACAAAAGCGACGATTGCCTAAATAAATTACATTTATCTGTCCAAAAAATGGTTTTATGTACGGATTCCAAAGATTAAATTGCACTCGAAATTCGTTCGAATTCGTAATTCAGTTAAGTTGAAGTGTTCAACATGAACATTATTAATTTTACAAACGAGAATAATGGAAAAAATACAAAAAGCTTTTTATAAACAGGCTTTTATTAAATATGAATGTAAAGTACCATTGAAGTCGATAAGTCCGACATTTTTAAAGTGAAAACTTTTTTAGAATCGTTGTGATTTGAAATCCTACAAAACGGAAAATAGACACTTAAAAGAGACAAAAATATACATCTATAGGGTTTAGCCTGTGACAGAATGAGATAAAATACAGTAATAATACATTGTATAAGAGACAGTGGACTAATGCTGACCGCGAACTCAAAAGGTTGTGGGTTCGAGTCTGCTAGCATTGTAAGTAATTTTTGTTACAATAAAGTGTTTTCTATTATTTCGGTCTCCTATAAGGCACTGCTCATAGCAACATATAACATTTACTAATGGTTAATATACATTCGAACTGTTAAAATTAAATTATATTGTTTATAAAAATATTAACAAACGACACAGCCAAAATGGTCCCAAGGCTGTACAAAAATAATACTATTGCTATTATTTTAAATAAAACAAACAAATAATTTTGAATAACTTTTAACATTTCATATCAGTTAATGAAAAATAATCCGGTTTAAAAGTATTTAAATTGATTCCTTCCGTTTGCAGTCACTCTATAGCATTAAAGTAGCTTTAAAGTGGCAATCCATATCATAATAAAAAAAGGGCAGAATAGAGAAAAACAATAACTAAACTAATAAAAATATTTTGTGTGATGTGTTATATGTATAAAAACAAACCTTCTGTTAATGAACCAATAAATCAAAACAATCAAAATACACTGATGGATAGGATTTTATTTATATGTTTATTACAGCAACAGCTTAAACATGTAGCATTACATAGTAGGATAGGATTATTTTACTATAGTACTTGCAACACTGATTCCGTCCGTGAAGTGTCAAAACAGTCAGTGTCCAACTGGACTGAATAGCTACAAACGATATAAATATTTTCGTAGACTAAAAAACTCCTTTTTATTAGCTAAACTAATATGTAGGTATCTTAAACATATGGGACAAATGCGTATACATATAACTATATTACACACATGAAATTATAACCTTATGAATATCATAACGAACATGATTTCTCACCCTACGATTCAGATTCAGTCCTAGCATACTCTTTGAATACCGCATTACTATAGCATTTATTTTACTTTCGTTCTTCTTCTGTCACACCCAACTTTCACTACCAAACATTAAAGTAGGAATTAGCACAGCGTTTTGAATTTCTATACGCGCCTTTTGTTACACATTCTGAGTCTTCATAATAGTGTACTTACTTATATAAAGCCCAAATATACAAACTCCCACTTGCTCAATCAACACCCCTTCTATTCTTATTTCACATAACCTTTTACTTTCTTCTCCTTTTAAGCCTTTCCCCTTATAAATTATAATAATATATCTGCTTTGCATTAGTCTTCCGGTACCCGCTTCAATTCCCAACATAAATTGAACAAGGTTTTTGCAGTCAAGGTTGTTGCAAAAGGCGATCGCTCAGACCCGTCCAACTACAGACCTATCGCCATCACCTCCTTGTTCTGCAAAACAATGGAGTCCATTGTAAACTGCGAGCTAGTGAGATCACCAGCTGATTAATGATAGCCAATACGATTTTAGTCGTGGTCGATCAGCTGGTAATCTTCTGGTCTACCTAACTCATAGATGGGCGGAGGCAGTAGAGTCCAAGGGGGAGGCATTGGCCGTTAGTTTAGACATTGCGAAGACCTTCGATCGGGTTTGGCACAAAGCGCTTCTTTCAAAGCTCCCTTCCTATGGGCTTTCCGAGAAATTGTGCAATTGGATCACCAGCTTTCTTGCAGATCGGAGCATCAAGGTCATTGTAGACGGTGCAAGCTCCGATTACAAGCCTATTAATTTTGGTGTTTCACAAGGCTGCGTGCTATCACCAACGCTGTTTCTTCTGCATATCAATGATATGTTGCAAATCCGTAACATTCATTGCTATGCAGATGACAGCACTGGTGATACTCTGTACACCGGCCGTGCCAATATTTCTCGGGAAAACGTCTCCGAGTACCGAGACAAAGTTGTGTCTGAATTGGAGTCTTTGCTGAACAAAGTCTCGGATTGGGGGCGACTAAATCTAGTCTAGTTTAACCCTCAGAAGACAAAAGTATGCGCATTAACCGCTAAAAAGAACCCCTTTGTCGTATCTCCTCAGTTTCAAGGTACTCCCTTTTTTACCTCAGTCAGTATCGGAATCCTCTGCGTCGACATATCGAGTGACGTGCAGTTTCGTTGTCACTTGGAAGAGAAGGCCAAATTGGCCTCTGAAAAGCTTGAAGTGCTTAGCAGAGCGGGACAGTATTTCATGCCGGCACACCGCCTGCAACTTTACAAGGCGCAGGTTCGGCCGCACATGGAATACTGTTCCCATCTCTGGGCTGGGGCTCCCCAGTGCCAGCTCCTTCCACTTGACCGCATCCAGCGTAGAGCGGCTCAAATCGCCGACGACCGAGTGTTTTCCTATCGGCTCGATTCACTGGTGCTACGAAGAGATGTTGCATCTCTTTGCATTTTCTTTCGCATATACCACGGGGAGTGCTCTGAGGAATTGTTCGGATTAATCCCAGCCACGAAATTTCATGAACACACTACGCGGCAAACGTTTTGATATCATCCACACCATCTAGGTGCTTGGCGGTCCACCTCTGTACGTTTCAGAAGAAGTT